ATCTGTCCTGTAGTGAATCGTCTTTCCTGTAGTGAATCATCTGTCCTGTAGTGAATCATCTGTCCTGTAGTGAATCATCTGTCCTGTAGTGAATCGTTGTAGTGAATCGTCTGTCCTGTAGTGAATCGTCTGTCATGTAGTGAATCATCTGTCCTGTAGTGAATAATCTGTCCTGTAGTGAATCATCTGTCCTGTAGTGAATCGTCTGTCCTGTAGTGAATCGTCTGTCCTGTAGTGAATCGTCTGTCCTGTAGTGAATAATCTGTCCTGTAGTGAATCATCTGTCCTGTAGTGAATCATCTGTCCTGTAGTGAATCGTCTGTCCTGTAGTGAATCGTCTGTCCTGTAGTGAATCATCTGTAGTGAATTATCTGTCCTGTAGTGAATCGTCTGTCCTGTAGTGAATCAGCTGTCCTGTAGTGAATCGTCTGTCTTGTAGTGAATCATCTGTCCTGTAGTGAATTATCTGTCCTGTAGTGAATCAGCTGTCCTGTAGTGAATCATCTGTCCTGTAGTGAATCGTCTGTCCTGTAGTGAATCGTCTGTCCTGTAGTGAATCATCTGTAGTGAATTATCTGTTCTGTAGTGAATCGTCTGTCCTGTAGTGAATCATCTGTCCTGTAGTGAATCATCTGTCCTGTAGTGAATCGTCTGTCCTGTAGTGAATCAGCTGTCCTGTAGTGAATCATCTGTCCTGTAGTGAATCGTCTGTCTTGTAGTGAATCGTCTGTCCTGTAGTGAATTATCTGTCCTGTAGTGAATCGTCTGTCCTTTAGTGAATTGTCTGTCTTGTAGTGAATCGTCTGTCCTGTAGTGAATCGTCTGTCCTGTAGTGAATCGTCTGTCCTCTAGTAAATCGTCTGTCCTGTAGTGAATCGTCTGTCCTGTAGTGAATCATCTGTCCTGTAGTGAATCGTCTGTCCTGTAGTAAATCGTCTGTCCTGTAGTGAATCATCTGTCTTGTAGTGAATCGTCTGTCCTGTAGTGAATTATCTGTCCTGTAGTGAATCGTCTGTCCTGTAGTGAATTATCTGTCCTGTAGTGAATCAGCTGTCCTGTAGTGAATCGTCTGTCCTGTAGTGAATCATCTGTAGTGAATTATCTGTCCTGTAGTGAATCGTCTGTCCTGTAGTGAATCAGCTGTCCTGTAGTGAATCGTCTGTCTTGTAGTGAATCATCTGTCCTGTAGTGAATTATCTGTCCTGTAGTGAATCAGCTGTCCTGTAGTGAATCATCTGTCCTGTAGTGAATCGTCTGTCCTGTAGTGAATCGTCTGTCCTGTAGTGAATCATCTGTAGTGAATTATCTGTTCTGTAGTGAATCGTCTGTCCTGTAGTGAATCATCTGTCCTGTAGTGAATCATCTGTCCTGTAGTGAATCGTCTGTCCTGTAGTGAATCAGCTGTCCTGTAGTGAATCATCTGTCCTGTAGTGAATCGTCTGTCTTGTAGTGAATCGTCTGTCCTGTAGTGAATTATCTGTCATGTAGTGAATCGTCTGTCCTGTAGTGAATCGTCTGTCCTGTAGTGAATTATCTGTACTGTAGTGAATCGTCTGTCCTGTAGTGAATTATCTGTCCTTTAGTGAATCGTCTGTCTTGTAGTGAATCGTCTGTCCTGTAGTGAATCGTCTGTCCTGTAGTGAATCGTCTGTCCTGTAGTGAATCATCTGTTCTGTAGTGAATCGTCTGTCCTGTAGTGAATCCTCTGTCCTGTAGTGAATCATCTGTCCTGTAGTGAATCGTCTGTCCTGTAGTGAATCAGCTGTCCTGTAGTGAATCGTCTGTCTTGTAGTGAATCGTCTGTCCTGTAGTAAATCGTCTGTCTTGTAGTGAATCGTCTGTCCTGTAGTGAATCATCTGTCCTGTAGTGAATCATCTGTCCTGTAGTTAATCGTCTGTCCTGTAGTAAATCGTCTGTCCTGTAGTAAATCGTCTGTCCTGTAGTGAATCATCTGTCCTGTAGTGAATCATCTGTCCTGTAGTGAATCGTCTGTCCTGTAGTGAATCATCTGTCCTGTAGTGAATCATCTGTCCTGTAGTGAATCGTCTGTCCTGTAGTAAATCGTCTGTCCTGTAGTGAATCATCTGTCCTGTAGTGAATCATCTGTCCTGTAGTGAACTGTCTGTCCTGTAGTGAATCGTCTGTCCTGTAGTGAATCATCTGTCCTGTAGTGAATCATCTGTCCTGTAGTGAATCGTCTGTCCTGTAGTAAATCGTCTGTCCTGTAGTGAATCATCTGTCCTGTAGTGAATCATCTGTCCTGTAGTGAATCGTCTGTCCTGTAGTGAATCATCTGTCCTGTAGTGAATCATCTGTCCTGTAGTAAATCGTCTGTCTTGTAGTGAATCATCTGTCCTTTAGTGAATCATCTGTCTTGTAGTGAATCGTCTGTCCTGTAGTGAATCGTCTGTCTTGTAGTGAATCGTCTGTCCTGTAGTGAATCGTCTGTCCTGTAGTGAATCGTCTGTCCTGTAGTGAATCGTCTGTCCTGTAGTGAATCATCTGTCCTGTAGTGAATCGTTGTAGTGAATCGTCTGTCCTGTAGTGAATCGTCTGTCATGTAGTGAATAATCTGTCCTGTAGTGAATAATCTGTCCTGTAGTGAATCAGCTGTCCTGTAGTGAATCAGCTGTCCTGTAGTGAATCATCTGTCCTGTAGTGAATCATCTGTCCTGTAGTGAATCGTCTGTCCTGTAGTGAATCATCTGTCCTGTAGTGAATCATCTGTCCTGTAGTGAATCAGCTGTCCTGTAGTGAATCGTCTGTCCTGTAGTGAATCATCTGTCCTGTAGTGAATCGTCTGTCCTGTAGTGAATCATCTGTCCTGTAGTGAATCGTCTGTCCTGTAGTAAATCGTCTGTCTTGTAGTGAATCGTCTGTCCTGTAGTGAATTATCTGTCCTGTAGTGAATCGTCTGTCCTTTAGTGAATCGTCTGTCTTGTAGTGAATCGTCTGTCCTGTAGTGAATCGTCTGTCCTGTAGTGAATCGTCTGTCCTGTAGTGAATCGTCTGTTCTGTAGTGAATTGTCTGTCCTGTAGTAAATCGTCTGTCTTGTAGTGAATCGTCTGTCCTGTAGTGAATCATCTGTCCTGTAGTGAATCATCTGTCCTGTAGTGAATCGTCTGTCCTGTAGTAAATCGTCTGTCCTGTAGTGAATCATCTGTCCTGTAGTGAATCATCTGTCCTGTAGTGAATCGTCTGTCCTGTAGTAAATCGTCTGTCCTGTAGTGAATCATCTGTCTTGTAGTGAATCGTCTGTCCTGTAGTGAATTATCTGTCCTGTAGTGAATAATCTGTCCTGTAGTGAATCGTCTGTCCTGTAGTGAATCGTCTGTCCTTTAGTGAATCGTCTGTCTTGTAGTGAATCGTCTGTCCTGTAGTGAATCGTCTGTCCTGTAGTGAATCGTCTGTCCTGTAGTGAATCGTCTGTTCTGTAGTGAATCGTCTGTCCTGTAGTAAATCGTCTGTCTTGTAGTGAATCGTCTGTCCTGTAGTGAATTATCTGTCCTGTAGTGAATCGTCTGTCCTTTAGTGAATTGTCTGTCTTGTAGTGAATCGTCTGTCCTGTAGTGAATCGTCTGTCCTGTAGTGAATCGTCTGTCCTGTAGTGAATCGTCTGTCCTGTAGTGAATCATCTGTTCTGTAGTGAATCGTCTGTCCTGTAGTAAATCGTCTGTCTTGTAGTGAATCGTCTGTCCTGTAGTGAATCATCTGTCCTGTAGTGAATCATCTGTCCTGTAGTGAATCGTCTGTCCTGTAGTAAATCGTCTGTCCTGTAGTAAATCATCTGTCCTGTAGTGAATCATCTGTCTTGTAGTGAATCATCTGTCCTTTAGTGAATCATCTGTAGTGAATTATCTGTCCTGTAGTGAATCGTCTGTCCTTTAGTGAATCATCTGTCCTTTAGTGAATCGTCTGTCCTGTAGTGAATCATCTGTCCTGTGGTGAATCGTCTGTCCTGTAGTGAATCGTCTGTCCTGTAATGAATCATCTGTCCTGTAGTGAATCATCTGTCCTGTAGTGAATCATCTGTCCTGTAGTGAATCATCTGTCCTGTAGTGAATCGTTGTAGTGAATCGTCTGTCCTGTAGTGAATCGTCTGTCCTGTAGTGAATCATCTGTCCTGTAGTGAATCGTCTGTCCTGTAGTGAATCGTTGTAGTGAGTCGTCTGTCCTGTAGTGAATCGTTGTAGTGAGTCGTCTGTCCTGTAGTGAATCGTCTGTCCTGTAGTGAATCATCTGTCCTGTAGTGAATCGTCTGTCCTGTAGTGAATCGTTGTAGTGAGTCGTCTGTCCTGTAGTGAATCGTCTGTCCTGTAGTGAATCATCTGTCCAGTAGTGAATCATCTGTCCTGTAGTGAATCGTCTGTCCTGTAGTGAATCGTCTGTCCTGTAGTGAATCGTCTGTCCTGTAGTGAATCGTCTGTCCTGTAGTGAATGGTCTGTCCTATAGTGAATCATCTGTCCTCTAGTGAATCATCTGTCCTGTAGTGAATCATCTGTCCTGTAGTGAATCATCTGTCCTGTAGTGAATCGTCTTTCCTGTAGTGAATCGTCTGTCCTGTAGTGAATCATCTGTCCTGTAGTGAATCGTCTGTCCTTTAGTGAATCGTCTGTCCTGTAGTGAATCGTCTGTCCTGTAGTGAATCATCTGTCCTGTAGTGAATCGTCTGTCCTGTAGTGAATCGTCTGTCCTGTAGTGAATCATCTGTAGTGAATTATCTGTCCTGTAGTGAATCATCTGTCCTGTAGTGAATCGTCTGTCCTGTAGTGAATCATCTGTAGTGAATCATCTATAGTGAATCGTCTATCCAGTAGTGAATCATCTGTAGTGAATCATCTGTAGTGAATCGTCTGTCCTGTAGTGAATCATGAATCAGTCTGTGCTGTAGTGAATCATGAATCAGTCTTTGCTGTAGTGAATCGTCTGTCCTGTAGTGAGTCGTCTGTCCTGTAGTGAATCATGAATCAGTGTGTGTGTGTGATGTGTGTCTCCAGCTCAGTACATGTTGACCTTCACTGAGTTCACGTGTCTGCCGGTCAGCGCGTCGGTCTTCACTCCACAGACCGGATGGATCACCATGAGGTGTGGCATCTCTCACACACACTCCACTATCACGGTGTTTGATGATGTTTAATAATCATATTCATTAATGTGTATCTGGTTTCTCAGCTTCTACAATCATCTGCTGGGCGTTCAGAATCCTCAAGACTTCATCCCGCCCTTCTTCTGTCCCGCTTCGGCTCAGAACCAACACTTACCCAAGACCAACTTCCTGAAGGCCCTGCGGCCGTACCAGTGAAGACCATCTCTGTCCTCAGACCAGTGAAGACCATCTCTGTCCTCAGACCAGTGAAGGCCATCTCTGTCCTCAGACCAGTGAAGACCATCTCTGTCCTCAGACCAGTGAAGACCATCTCTGTCCTCAGACCAGTGAAGGCCATCTCTGTCCTCAGACCAGTGAAGACCATCTCTGTCCTCAGACCAGTGAAGACCATCTCTGTCCTCAGACCAGTGAAGACCATCTCTGTCCTCCAACCAGTGAAGACCATCTCTGTCCTCAGACCAGTGAAGGCCATCTCTGTCCTCAGACCAGTGAAGACCATCTCTGTCCTCAGACCAGTGAAGACCATCTCTGTCCTCAGACCAGTGAAGACCATCTCTGTCCTCAGACCAGTGAAGACCATCTCTGTCCTCAGACCAGTGAAGACCATCTCTGTCCTCCAACCAGTGAAGACCATCTCTGTCCTCAGACCAGTGAAGACCATCTCTGTCCTCAGACCAGTGAAGACCATCTCTGTCCTCCAACCAGTGAAGACCATCTCTGTCCTCAGACCAGTGAAGACCATCTCTGTCCTCAGACCAGTGAAGACCATCTCTGTCCTCAGACCAGTGAAGACCATCTCTGTCCTCAGACCAGTGAAGACCATCTCTGTCCTCAGACCAGTGAAGACCATCTCTGTCCTCAGACCAGTGAAGACCATCTCTGTCCTCAGACCAGTGAAGGCCTTCTCTGTCCTCAGACCAGTGAAGACCATCTCTGTCCTCAGACCAGTGAAGACCATCTCTGTCCTCAGACCAGTGAAGACCATCTCTGTCCTCAGACCAGTGAAGGCCATCTCTGTCCTCAGACCAGTGAAGACCATCTCTGTCCTCAGACCAGTGAAGACCATCTCTGTGTTCCTCAGACGTGTATAAATAAGAATATAAGAATAAACAGACCTGTCTTCATCATCAGAGGCTTTAGTGTCTTCATATCGTCTCCATCTGTGTCTTCTGGGAATGAAACTGATTTCCATGCAGGACGCTCTCATATAAACACAATAAACACTTAACCACTTTTAACCATTCAATCAGTAAAGACATTATTTTATGTGAGGAAAACAAACTCTAAAGATGCACATGATCATATATGTATGCGTATTTCCAGCCACTGATCATGCAGCTTTGTGGAATTGAATAGTCGTGTAAATCTTTATTTTGGTTGTTAATTCTTCAAAAAGAAATGAATGAAGAGAAGAGCTGATCAGTGTGACTGACAAACACACATCAAGTTTATCAGTGTGTGTTAAAACTGTGATGGAAATTTGATATGCAATAATTCATCAATCTTACATTTAGGCCAAATTCTTTTCTTTCGAGTGTAGAGATGATTCATGATTGATACAGAACTACAGGAGGAATTATTGAGCTGATCGTTTGGATGTGTGTCTCATAAGCTGAAGTAACTCGTGTCAGTGAAGTCTTCCTCTCCTGCGAGTGTCTCAAACACTCCTCATGTGAAGTTAGAGGAATCTTCTGAACATCTGAGCTTCTGATGAAATGCACATTTGAAGGTGAAGGTGGAGAATGTTCTTCACTTTAAGATGCAAAACATTCAAAACTGATCATTCATTCAGAAATGTTCCATTTCTCTCGAATACAAACAGTTCAATCCATAATGTGAGCTTTAGTTTAACTTAATTAGTACGCTTATATTACTTTCCATGTCAGTGTTTGTAAAATCCCATCATGCAACAGGAAGTTGCATCATTTTTGGTGGGAAAAGTTGACCAGAGCAATAACAGAAATACACATAACGACACAAACATGTTCACTTTTCCAAGGTTGAGTCACTGTTCTTATTACAGTGCATAATCATCAGGTTCATTACCATCATAAATGGCATAAATATATTTATCTATTTAAAGTTCTTGAAGCTGTTTAGACTTTACATGAAAACCCTCGAATGTCCGTCTCTTCTGGAGTCAAACCTAGTTTCTAAACGATTTATTTTGTTTCAGTTAATGTTTATTTCAAAGAATGAAAATGTTTTTTTATTAGTTTTTCAGTTATGATAGCACTGTTCCAGTGCAGTGCATTGTGGGAGACAGATGCATCACAATCGCTGATCGGCCATGTGTTGGGAAAACTCACAGAAAACACACACACACAGCTTTGGCAGATATAGATATGTATTTATAGGTTTTGATTTTTTTTTTCATACCAGATAAATAAAAAGATAACAATACAATCTGGTCACTATTACATGTCGAGTCCGTGTGATAATAATGACCAAATCAAAGCATGATTGTCACTCAGTGTGCTTCACAAAAATCTGTCAATGAATAAATTATCTGGTGAACTTCAACTATTTACAGTATAAACAAATGATCACGAACACAAGCTTTGGATCTTCGGACGATTTCAGCAGTTTTTCCATCATCGTTCAACACAAACACAGAATATGAGAATATGATTCGACTGTACATGCCTAGAGTTAATAAACCAAAGTACAAAAGCAAACCGACATAAAAACAATGAAAAAAATGAACATCCACGTGACGTCGCATTCCACACAAACACCGAGAGGAGACGCAGGAGAAGTGGAGGACGAGGCACGTCTCTCTTCCTCGGGATCATCTTCATCATCTTCATCTTCAAGCGTTCGATCCCGTCGTTTCAGTGTCCGGGGAAAAGGGGAAGAACGGGACGCGTCCACACACTTTACCCAGAATTCAAGTATTCCAGAGCCACTTCATAGCAGAACTTGTACTGATCCTGCAGAACACACACACACACACACACCAGCAGAGGTCACTGTCTGCACACACACTGCGGATTAACTCTTCATCGTTCACTCTGAGAAATACAGGGTTTTATTTCCACAAAGAACCTTTCAGTGATCAGTTCTTAAAGTCCCCCTGTGGTGAGAATCCAGTGTTTAATGTTGTTTATGTGTCTATGTGGTGTTTAATACGCTTTAAGACACACCATGTGTAAGTTCATAAGTCGACAGCATTGCTGAGTATTTCCTCCTTAAAACTGCAGTGAACCAAAGACAGTCTCAAAAACACGGTTTGAAATCGCTGGTGTTTCTGACGTCACAAACGACCTTGTAACCAATCAGATCAACGTGTGATCGTCAACCAGTGGATCTCTGAGCTGAGGGAGTGAGTGGAGGCGGGGCTCATTTGCATATTCATAGAGCCGCGCATACTAAATGAGGCGACGGTGTCGAGTTACATTCAAGATATCTTAAAGCATGAAGAGGAAAAAACGTTTAAATATGTAATTTTGCGGATGAAAGATGAGTTGAGGATAGAAGGATCGACTGCAGGACTTTAAGAGGACGAGTGTTTCGGAGAACATGTTCCTGATGAGGGAATGCTAAAGGTTCTTCATGGAAACTGTCGATGCCAATAAACAAAGCTTTATTTCTCAGAGTGATCGTACAAATACAGACATGAAACAAACACTTCGTATTATCTTATATTAACAAAAAATGTTTATTTTCTCTTAAGTGTCATCATCAAAACTGAATTTACATTTTAAGTTTGATGACCAGTTTATGGAGATGATCATGTTGGTGATTTAATACACTTTCTGAAATCAACCCATTCGACATGTTTGCTGATGATTGGATGATGAACGGCACTGGCGTCACATGACTGAACGCGTCGCTATGACATCATCAGGAGCGAGCGTGATCTGATGTTGTATGATTATGATTATGATTATGATGACACTCACCAGGAGGTCCACCATGTTGGGTTTGTTGTTTCTCAGTGTTTTGACGGCGTGGAACACGTCCACCGAGTGCTGGTGTCGTAACATCTCACACACGATGCTGATGGCACAGAAGGTCCCGCTGCGTCCGCCACCGTTCCTGAACAAACACACACTCTACGATGATCAAGACCTTCAACACATCAACATCTGCAGCATTAAGAGCTTGATGATGTTTCAGGCTCCACTAGAACAGGTTTTCCTGCTTGAATGTTGATTATTTCCTCATATTCTCCATTGTTGCGGCTCCTCTCTTCCCAGTCTGTCAGTAACGCTCTGTTTACTTCCTGTCTCTATGAAGCCCCTCCTCCTGAAAAGCACACTGTGCTCTGATTGGTCGGCTGGAGCAGTGTGTTGTGATTGGTCGAGCGCTTCGAGTGTGTTTGGGAAATGTCCCGCCCCTTTTACCATAACCGCCAGTTTAACACACTACTAACTAACTCAACCAGGCCCCGCCCCTTTATTCTGCGTATGAATTATTATAATGAGGAATATTGTGACGTGTTCGTTCCCGGGAGAAACTCAAGACTACAATGGAGGCGTTTCAGGAGTTCAGAAACACTGACACTGATATAGAGGATATAATCTAATGACCGCTAGTGGACATGGAGTTGCAAAATTACTTGTAGTTAGTAGAATGTGTGAAGTGGACTATCGAAATAAATGTTTCTGTGTGTGTGTGTGTGTGTGTGTGTCTGTGTGTACGTGTGTGTGTGTCTCTGTGTGTCTCTCTTGTGTTGAATCTGGTCTGTGAACACTAGATGGCGCTGCAGAACTGCTCATAAACCCAGTAGAGCTCAATCACTCCATCATGCGTGTGTGTGAGAGTGTGAGTGTGTGAGAGTGAGTGTGTGTGTGTGTGTGTGTGTAAGAGACTCACAGGCAGTGAACGACGGTCCTTCCCTCTCCTCCATCGTACTCCTCCTGCCATTTCTCCACCTGTCGGATG